CATAAGAAAGAGAAAAATAAAAAAAATAAAAGGGAATATTGGAGACCTTTCAAAGACAAAGCCGTGCTGCAGTTTTTATTCAATAGAGTTGGCAAAATATTTGCTTCATTATCTTTACCTTGAAGATAATGATTCTAAAAGACTAAATAAAACAATATTTGTAATAATTCTCAATAAGTTTCTTACAGTTCATAGGTTTGTAAAGTTTCTTCTTTGAAATGGAACAAAGTTTGATGAATTATTAATTTCTAACTGAAGCGGGGGAAAAAAACCCTATATCCCTGAGTTCAAAAATATAGGCGTTGTCTAGTACTGCTAATCACTTTCCCCCTTTCATTGCATTAAATCAGCTTTCACAATGTCAAGTCCAAACATTAAAATTGGTCATCTCCTAAACTCTTAATGTGGCTCTCAGAACTCCTCCAAATGTTATTTCTTAGTTACAACAATGTAATACAATGGAAAACCTAACACCACATTTTGATAGGCCCTTGGCATGTTACTTAGAAACCAAGAACTATATGATCCAAGTAAGTCCCAAGTAACTTCAACATGGCTGAAAAACTCTGTGCACAGATGGAAGTTCAATATGTAAAATGAAGAATGTAGGGTAGTTAAATATCTTAATAATTTAATATATGGAGCACTGAAGAGAATCTATCAGCCTTAGTTCAGATTATTACTAGTATCTTTTGATTTGTGATCCTAAGGACTTAGGGTATCCCCCCAGTTCCTTGTGTCCACAAAATCAAAATTACTTGCCAGCCTCTGTTGAAAAGTAGTACAGTATTAAAATTCTACCAAACAATTGTTAGAAGCAGCAGTAGCAGCAAATTGTCAAATTTAAAATGGTAAATATTGACAGTCAATTTAGTTGTAGTGGTTAAGGCGAGAAATTGAGAGATGATTGAGTTCTAGTCCTGTTTTAGGCATGAAAGCCAGTGGGGTGACCTTGGGCCAGTCATTCTCTCACAACTTAGAAAGCAAGCAGTGACATACCACTTCCAATATCTCACCAAGTAAATTTAAGGAACTTATCCTGGCAGTTGTCAGAAGTCAACTGACTGGAAGACACCAATATACTATAAGTATAAAAACATAAAGGTGATTTTAGGGTTCTCCCATAATTTTTTCAAAATTAATAAGTTTGAGAAATACCGATCTTATGTTGGCATTACAAAGCTCAAAAAAGTTTTGTGGAATTGGGAACTCTGCAGCATTTTCTATCCTTTAAGCAGGTGAGAAAAAGAAATGAAAGAATAACAATAGCCAAGACTGAATACATACTTGTGATATCTTAACAATAGGAAAAATCTTGATTTTTTTTAAAAAAATATTTACTTGGAAAAAGACTGTTGTCTTCATTATTCTTTCACAAGAAGGGCCACTGTGAACGTTACACTCAAGTGTTTGCTTGCAAATTCACAACAAAAGTCTATACAGCATTGGTTGGTTCTTGGCTTCTTTTATAGGACTGTTCAGTTCCTACAGCAGGAAATGCATAATAGGGCAATATCACTGGAAGGAAAAAATTTCTAATTCTAACCTTGAATTTGAAGTGGAGGGAGCTGGGGATGAGGGAAATTGTGCTGCTGTGAAATTTGATCATTTGCTACTAAAATTCATTGATACTGAGGGACAGGATTGGCATCCCTTGCATTACCTAAGTTGGAGCAGTCTACTCATGGGTGGAACAAATGAGTGAAATTTCAATAATGTGCTCTGACATGTTAGCTGGTAAGTCAGAAGCTTTATTATTTGTATATCTCAAGGTGGAGAACATACCTAATATAGTACTCCTTTTTTCTCCTATTTTTACTCAACATTTTAAATGAGATAAAGTGAAACTATTTTTAAACTCTGTATCCATCAGAAACTACAGGTGAAACTCGAAAAATTAGAATGTCGTGCAAAAGTTCATTTATTTCAGTAATGCAACTTAAAAGGTGAAACTAATATATGAGATCGACTCATTACATGCAAAGCAAGATAGTTCAAGCCGGGATGTGTCATAATTGTGATGATCATGGCTTGCAGCTCATGAAAACCCCAAATCCACAATCTCAGAAAATTAGAATATTGTGAAAAGGTTCAATATTCTAGGCTCAAAGCGTCCCACTCTGATCAGCTAACTAAGCCATAACACCTGCAAAGGATTCCTTAGCCTTTAAATGGTCTCTCAGTCTGGTTCAGTAGGAATCACAATCATGGGAAAGACCGCTGACCTGACAGTTGTGCAAAAAACCATCACTGACATCCTCCATAAGGAGGGAAAGCCTCAAAAGGTAATTGCAAAAGAAGTTGGATGTTCCCAAAGTGCTGTATCAAAGCACATTAATAGAAAGTTATGTGGAAGTGAAAAGTGTGGAAGAAAAAGGTGCACAAGCAGCAGGGATGACCGCAGTCTGGAGAGGATTGTCAGGAAAAGGCCATTCAAAAGTGTTGGGGACTTTCACAAGGAGTGGACTGAGGCTGGAGTCAGTGCATCAAGAGCCACCACACATAAACGGATCCTGGACATGGGCTTCAAATGTATTCCTCTTGTCAAGTTGCTCCTGAACAACAAACAGCGTCAGGGCTGTTTGGGCTAAAGAAGCGTCTGGGCTAAAGAAAAATAGACCTGGTCTGTTGCTCAGTGGTCCAAAGTCCTCTTTTCTGATGAGAGCAACTTTTGCATCTCATTTGGAAACCAAGGACCCAGAGTCTGGAGGAAGAATGGAGAGGCACACACTGCAAGATGATTGACGTCCAGTGTGAAGTTTCCATAGTCTGTGTTGATTTGTGGAGCCATGTCATCTGCTGCTGTTGGTCCACTGTGCTTCATTAACTCCAGGGTCAACACAGCCATCTACCAGGAGATTTTGGAGCACTTCATGCTTCCTTCCGCAGACGAGCTTTATGGGGATGCTGACTTCATTTTCCAGCAGGACTTGGCACCTGCCCACACTGCCAACAGCACCAAAACCTGGTTCAATGACCGTGGGATTACTGTGCTTGATTGGCCAGCAAACTCGCCTGACCTGAACCCCATAGAGAATCTATGGGGCATTGCCAAGAGAAAGATGAGAGACATGAGACCAAACAATGCAGAAGAGCTGAAGGCCACTATTGAACCATCCTGGTCTTCCATAACACCTCAGCAGTTACACAGGCTGATAGCTTCCATGCCACGCCGCATTGAGGCAGTAATTGCTGCAAAATTGGCCCAAACCAAGTATTGAGTACATATGCATGCTTATACTTTTCAGAGGTCTGATATTGTTCTATGTACAATGCTTGTTTTATTGATTGCATGTAATATTCTAATTTTCTGAGATTGTGGATTTGGGGTTTTCATGAGCTGTAAGCCATAATCATCACAATTATGACAAATCACGGCTTGAACTATCTTGCTTTGCATGTAATGAGTCTATCTCATTAGTTTCACCTTTTAAGTTGCATTACTGAAATAAATGAGCTTTTGCATGATATTCTAATTTTTTGAATTTCACCTGTAGATATCCTAATAAATAACTACCATAGTATTCTTTGGTTTCTTTGCAGAACCTAACGCTCAGCCAAAAGACCGAAAGTTAATTCTGCACTTGTTTAAAATTGGATGTAGTTGACAAAAATATCACAGAATAAATGCAATATATTTTAGTTTAGATACAGTAACTCTCCTTTCATACTATTGAATTCTCATTGTGATTTCACTTAGCATGACTGGTTTCTGATAAAAAAAAAATAGAATAGAATCGAATTCTTTATTGGTGAAGTGTGATTGGACACAAGGAATTCGTCTTGATGCAAATACTCTCAGTATACATAAAAGAAAAGATACATTCGTCAAGAGTCAAGAATCATAAGGTACAACACTTAATGATAGTCAAAGGGTACAATAAGCAATCAAATACTAGGAAACAGTCTATAAATCATAAGGATACAAGCGACAAAATAACAGTCATACTGTCACAAGTGGGAGGGGATGGGTGATAAGGAGTGATGAGAAGATTAACAGTAGTGCAGACTTTGTAAATAGTTTGACAGTATTGAGGAAATTGTTTAGCAGAGTGATGGCTTTCGGGAAAAACTGTTCTTGTGTCTAGTTGTACTGGTGTGTAGTGCTCTATAGCGTCGTTTTGAGGGAAGGAGTTGAAACAGTTTTATGTCCAGGATGTGAGGGGGCTGTAAATATTTTCACAGCCCTCTTTGATTCGTGCAGTATACAGGTCCTCAAGTTGAAGGTAGGTTGGTAGTAATTGTTTTTTCTGCAGTCCTAATTATCCTCTGAAGTCTGTGTCTGTCCTGTTGGGTTGCAGAACCAAACCAGACAGTTATAGAGGTGCAGATGATGGACTCAATAATTCCTCTGTAGAACTGTATCAGCAGCTCCTTGGGCAGTTTGAGCTTTCTGGGTTGGTGCAGAAAGAACATTCTTTGTTGTGCTTTTTTGATGACTTTTTTGATGTTAGGTGTCCATTTTAGGTCATGTGATATAGTAGAACCTAGAAATTTGAAGGTCTCTACTGTTGATACTGTGTTTGTAAGAGTATTGTAAGAGATGGTAGTATGGGAGGTCTACCATCATTTCTGTGGTTTTGAGTGTATTCAGTTCCAGATCGTTCTGGTTACACCACGAGGCAAGTTGTATAACCTGTCTATGCGGATTTATCGTTGTCTCAAATGAAACCAATCACTGTTGCGTCATCAGCAAACTTCAATATTTTAACAGATGGATTGTTTGAGATGCAGTCATTGGTATATAGGGAGAAGAGAAGTAGAGAAAGCACACAATCTTGTGGGGCCCCTGTGCTAATTGTACAAGTATCAGATGTGATTCTGCCTAGCTTCACCTGCTGCTTTCTGTCTGTTAGAAAGCTTACAAGTGTGTTCAGGTACCGCTAGTTGGTTTAATTAGAAGAATGTCTGGACTGATGGTATTGAATGCTGAACTGAAGTCTACAAACAGGACTCTTGCATGGGTATTTGGAGATTCAAGGTGTTGTAGGATATAATGCAGAGCCATATTAACAGCATCATGTGTCAATCTATTTGCTTGGTATGCAAACTGCATGGGATCTAACAGACCCGTGATGGTTTTCAGGTGGGACAGCACTAGCCTTTCAAAGATTTTCCTAACTACGGATGTTAGAGCAACTGTTCTGTAGTCATTCAGTTCCTTGATGGAGGGCTTCTTTGGCACTGAGATGATAGTAGAGCGTTTGAAGCAGGAAGGAACATAGCACATCTCTAGTGATCTATTGAAGATCCAGTTGCAGAGATTTTAATCATGTTCAAATTAACATGGAAATAAAACTTGGTTCAGACCATCTGTTTGTATATCCAAATCACACCTCTGCTCCCATTTTAAACACTGAGGAATGAAGGACAAGAACTCACTATCATGTACTGTCTTAGTACTGTACAATAATACCATCTTTGGCTTAAATTAATCCTGTGATGTTTTTGCATCCAGTGTGATATAGTGGACTGTATCCTTGAGCTTAGCTATATTAATTTTCAGTACATTCATTTGGAAGTAATTCTCGGTGTACCTTGGTTTTAAGTAATAATTATAGGATTACAGTCAAGATTTTTGGGGGGGCAGTATTGGCACATTTGCTTAAGAATAGCAGCCCCTTTCAGTACAATATGGAAAAAGACTTGGGGTTCTGCTGTCTTCACAATGCAGTATCTTCTTCAGAGGAGGATGAGCTGGCCTAGTGAAAGAAAGAAATAACGCTGTTAGAAAGACTGCAAATAGATTTATAGCACCGTTAAAGGGAATCAGTTACAGTATATCATAACCTTTATAGATTGATAGATTGAGCTGTGAGTTGAATTGTCAGAAGTCTGAATTTATGGTCTGATTATGAATGCTCAAAATTTTACAAAATCTTTTCAAAACCAAATCATCTAACTTGGGCGTCAAACTCGTGGTCTGGATATATCACATGCTGGCCATGCCCACCCCCGGTGTAGCGAAGGGGAAAACAATTTGTGATACATCATGTGATGACGGCTTGACACCCCTGATTTAACTGATTAATTACAAATGTTTAATCATTCTGTGATTTAAGTACAGCTTGAGCAAAGGCTCAGTCTAGCTCTCTATGCCAATTCTTTAGGTTAGATCAGGGGTGTCAAACTCACGTCACGGTGTCATCACATGACGTATTGGGACTTTCCCCCCCTACGCTAAACCAGGCATGGTTGTGGTCAGCATGTGATGCATCTGGTCTCCCAGCCGGGAGTTTGACAGCCCTGGGTTAGATCATTCAATCATTTGAAGTGTATCACATTGGTTGATAACCAGATGCCACAGATTCTTGTGAGATTTTCCTGAAGTTAATTGAAGGAAACTCACCCTTTCTCGTGGTTCTGCCAGTGTGTTTTTTGGCTCTGTTGCTTGTATCTCTGCATAAGCAGGAGGCTCATCATGGTCGCCATTCAATGGGTCAGGCTGTAACAGCCTTTTTGAGGCTGTAACAGCCTTATTTTGGGAGTAGTAGTGCTGATAAGCCTTTGCTTCACACACCAGGAGTATCAGAGTGTTACCACTGTCTTGGATTCTTGCTACTACATCTTCGTACTCTTCATTCTGTACATTGGTACCATTCACTTCTATCACAATGTCATCATCTTGCAGTCCTGCTATACTGGCAGGCCCATCCTTCTTTACCTGCAATTAAATTGTCTGAAATTATTGTAGTAGAAGCTGCTATTCTGCTTGATTGAGAGCAGCAGGCAGTCCATGGTAAGTGGCATACATGCAAATACAAATTTACTTTTATTCAAGGGTCTCGGCTGGTTTTAGCCAGGTGCTGCTCTTTTGGATAAAGAGATGACTATTTGGGGAGGGGGATGTGCATGGAGAGTATGCCTGCAAGATGGCAGATGTGTTACAATTGGAGACTATTTGTTTTGTGCGAAAATGGTATGTTGTCAGTTGCAATGCCCTGACTTCCATTTGACAGATTTTGAGCCACTGGGCATTGTGGGTTGTGGTCTACATTTCTGCTGCCATAAGAGAGGTGACAATCCTAGTCAAGGGTGAAAGTCAGAAGTGGCTGCATTTTTGATCCAGCCAAAGTTTCTGGATTTATTACCTCTGACTGGAAAGGACTATTATCTTAATTAACACCTCACAAATCCCACAAGGTATGTTGCTTTGTTTGGACGAGGCAGCCTGGACATCTGAGAAGAGGGACAGAAGAACCTGTTAGTGGCTCCTTTAAGAGGCAAGTGCTACAAGTGAGCGCTTAACTCTCACATTTGAATTAAGGTCTCAATGGCTGCAGAAACTTAAGATAATTATTTTGTCCACTAATATCCTCTCCCCAACATGAAAAAGCACCATTACGAAGAGGAGGATTGCAATTTCTAAAAAAATGAACTACACACAAACTATTCCTTGCTCCAGGTAAATAGGGACACACCACATCTATATTTTATATTTTCTGCTGTTTAGTGAAATGGTAATGACAAGATAAGTTTATCATACAAATCAACATTTTTTTAAATGACTGCTTTTAAAGTAGCGAAGTGTCTCAGAAACAAAACTCCAGTTTCTATGAGCAGGTAAACATTGTCTTTAAGTAATGGGTCAATATTATTTTCCCAATCATTCATCTTAATATATGCCAAGAGATTACAAAGACAATTTACTTGGGTGAAAAATAAAAACACAAAGTCACCTCTTAAGCTACACTGAACATAATTTCAGAATTTATATTAATTCCTGTTACAGTTTCTTTTTCTGAAAATAATTGTGAATTTATTATGCTATCTATTTGTACACTCCTATCAATGTGGGAAATAAAATTGGTTGAAAATTTTATTACTTGGACTTTAGAAAAACAACAACCTGCAAATATATTTATTGTAGACTAACACTTTTTAAAAAAAATTCTTAGTCTGAATCTAATTATCTGATATTTTTAAAATTATGTTTATTTACAAGATGACAATTTCTTTAAATGCATAAAATGCTAATTCAATCAACATTAAATCACATTTTAAGATTGCTTTTAAAAGTTAGCAGAGAAGGAATGAAAAACACTTCGATGGAATTAAAATATAAGAATAAAGGTGTATTACTAATATTAAAGTGTACTCCGTCTAATATTAAATCTCAAAAGTATTTTTCCAGAATGAGCATCAATAAAATATGGAACATATTTTACTGTGTCAGTTTCAAATTCCTTTTATTCAGCAGCTATTGTACCTTGATAAGACATAGAACAAAGATATATTTCTATATACTGCTGAGTACATTCACACTACAGGATAGAAGGCTGTCCTTTTTTGCCTGGTCAATGGTGATTTGTTTTATTTGCCAATGAAAAGATTCTAAAGTAATACCTCTTTGATGAACACTCCAGGTATATTGTTAATGGCATTCAATCGAAAGCCAAATCCGGTGGGACTTTTTATGAGTTTACAGAGTCTGGGCTTGTGATTTTCTTCCTGCATGGCTTTCTTTGCAATACTAAGATGTGGTTCCAGTCTTGTATGGTAGCAGAGACAAGGAGATATTTTAGCCTTAACCAAGAACAAAGAAACATGAATTGAAACATAATGAATATGAGCTGGAACACGATGGTACACAATTCTTCGTGTTGTGGAACAGGAGTGGAGATGCAGATGCCATGGATGTCTCCTCTCCCCTAGCTCTACAGTTTTTCCACAATTCAGAAGGAAGGAGGTTTAAATTACTGGAGGCAGCTAAGTTGTAAGAAAGGATAGTTTGGTGACAGACTCTTGGAGTTGAGCAATGACTCCACTGTTACTCCCGCTGGCATATTTTGACAATCATCTGAGGGACTTTGTGTGGGCCTGGAGGAGGTGGATAATAGCATAGACAATTTGAAGCACTTTCCCATTGTTGGAGAGAAGCTAAATAGGAAAGAGAATTGCACATGCACAAATGCTTTGTGGAGTATATTTCAAAAGAAAACATTTTTTTAAAACTTTAAATTATAAAGCTTAAAAATAAATTGCCTATTTCTGGGCTATTACTCATTGCATATTTTGCCCCATTCCACCACCACTGTATAACTTCTGACCCCTTTCCTGGAGGGAATACAGTTTGGGAGGTAATGTGCTAAGGGGCTCAGGATTGTAACGAGGCAGCTGCTCTAACACTATTCAAGCTTCACAGGGTTGTGAAAAATGAATGGAGTGCTTTGTATGCTGCCATTAGCTCCTAAAATAAAGGTAGAATATACATATAAAAAGGAATTAAATTAAAATCTGAATAGGACTGAAACAAATTCAGGAAAGAGATGTCAGGAAAGAGATGCTGAAAATTTGAGGAATAGCCTAAACTTGCAAGTCAGATCTGCAAAATAAGCAGAGACAATCTCAAACTATATAATTTCTCCTGCCTATCAGTAGATCACACTTTCAATTACTCTTGTTCCTACATCCCATCAAAATAGCAAAAATTAGAGAAAATAAAGCAATTGATTGATATGATAATTTTGTCATTTTAAGATCCTATCCATTGCTTATGTGGTTATATTACATCTTGAATGTAGGCATCCTTACCCTGTGATGACACCTTTAACACTCAAGAAATAGCATCTACCCACTCCAGGTCCTTGAGAAAGACTCAATAGGTAGACAAAAATGCTAAATTCAGTCTAAATATCTGGCTGATTATACAACCAACCATAATACAGGTAGTCTTCAAGTTACAGCAGTTCATTTAGTGACTGTTCAAAATTACAATTACACTGAAAAAAGTGACAGGATCATTTTTCACACCTTTGTAGCATTCACATGCTCATGTGATCAAAATTCAGATGTTTGGCAACTGGTTCATATTTATGACTCTTGCTGTGTCTTAAGGTCACGTGATCAGCTTTTGCAACTTTTTGAAAAGCAAAATCAATGGGAAAGCCAAATTCAGAACCATGTTGCTAACGTAACAACTGCAATGATTCACTTAACAACTGTGGCAAGAAAGGTCATAAAATGCAAAATTCACTTAAGAAATGTACTTAACTACAGAAATTTTGGTCTCAATTGTGGTCATAAGTCGAAGTCTACCTGTCATATGAAAAATGAAGGCAATTGTCTTGAAAGGGATCATCAGTTTCAGGAGGAGGAGAGTACCATAAATATATCTCCATCAACTATTATTTGTTTCAGTCTAAGATAGATAGCAAATTGAAAGATGACCTTATGGCCAAAGTAGGGTTACTCAATTGAGAGCAGTTTATGCAATTTCTATTGTTGCTAGCTTATCTGATTTTTCTGTTTTACATCAAACCCTTTATTAAATATATTCTTCTATATTATATTAAAGCTGTACATGTTGTATGGCTCTAATATGACATGATTTGTTTAGAAGTCCTCATAAAAATAATTTATGACATTCAGAGTGGAAATAAGGTTTAGAAGGAAAACTGCATTTTAAATATGAATCGTGTAGAAAAGTTTTAAATCAAGATAACAATATAATCTCATTCAGCAAAGTGGTATGGTCTTTATGCTAAACTCTTTCTTTCAAACTCATGGAGACTGGAAATCAGATCAACTAGGAAAAAAAATAGTTGGTAGATAGCGATTTAATAGTATAATCCTTATAAATGTCATGTCCTGTATGTCTTCAGCTCTTTTAGTCCCTTTTTTCCCATTTCCCCCATTACAACAAGAAATAACACCTAATCAACCAGGGCTGAGAAGTTAAGCATGTTCAGAGCTGGAAATCAATGGAAAGTTAAAAGAGCATACCTGAAAGAAGACAACAGCAAATCATGTCCATATTGTTCCCAAGAAAATTAAATAGAGGAGAAATCAAGGTCACTTCAATATAACTTTTCTTATAAATAATATAAAAGAATTGATTTGTACAGTTTCCTTTCATTTCAGAATTTGAAGTATAATGTGCAAACATTGCTATTAGTATCCAGATTACAAGGCAGATAGCTACCATGCCATTTAAATATTGAAATTGTCTCCTTAACAACCCTATTAATGTGATGCTTGCAAGAACTTGGAATTTACTACGTATGTAATGGATCTAATGAATGCTCTTTTAGATTTTGTTTTAAATAAAAGGAGTGAAACATAATGCTTGATTTCCCAAAGAGATTACTTAGCTTATAATTTTGCCATGACAACATATTGCCCCTCCCAAAGCAAGTATTATTTTAACAACTGGACAGCCTGAAGGCAGCTGTGTTGTCCTTTCCTCATCCTTAAAATGGAAGAGGATTACAATGTCAAAAATTGCTACAGTGAAATTTAAATTTTTTTGAAATGATCTGGCTGCATTGGGCATCTTTTCATTAGTAACCATATTTCAGAATCCTGGCTTGTGGCCTAACTAGTTCTGACTTTGCAGAAGTGTGGTAGCTATGACTGCTGTTGTAAAAAAGCCTGGAAATTGAGTTGGAAGTATTCCAGAGTGGGTGTTCTTTTTATTACGAGCAGCAGAATTCAACTTCTGGAAAAGTTTAACTAAGTACCATCACTTAATTTGTCATGGCAAGAGAAAACAATGCAGACAAACTCGGTTCTGTAAAGCTACCAGAACTATTTTTTTGGTTTTTAATACTCAAGTGTTGCAAACACAAAGTTGTCTTATAACCAGAAAGGCTGTCATGCCCCCTTCGGAGTTTGACTCTAAGGAGGAAGACGAACAGCTGACAGGGAATGGGAGAGTGGCTCCGTTAGCTGTGGAGGAAAGGATTTGGGGAGAGTTTTTCTCCAAACCAGAAGGTAACGGACATCAGGGGCAAAATTGGAGCTAATAAAGGGATCCCTACTTATTATCTGATTGGGTTGTCTTTGTGCCACACTCTAGGTCATCACAAAGGCTAAAAGAACAGGTATATATAAAGATTTAAAGCGGATATTCCCAGAATGTTACGTATACATACATATTTGCATCAGGACAACCTTACAACTACTGCTCTTTACCCCTTCCCATTATGCCGCAGCTGGCAACATAATTTCCCAATTAACTAATTCTTATACTCCAGCTGTATACCTTACCATTTTATACATGGTATCAGTCTCTTCATCCACCACTAATAAGATTGTGCTTTCACCAGATTGTCTGATTTTCTCTACCACAGCTTCATGGTCTAGTGCTTCAATTGGCTCTCCATTTACAGCTACCAAGATATCATTGTCCCTGAGACCTGCTTTAGCTGCAGGGCTGTCTGAATCAATGTCCTTAATCAAATGACCTGCCAAAAAAAAATTTTTTTAGAAAAGCCTAATATCATAGCAAAGCATAGGCCCATAGCAAATGTTTAATTTTGTACTTTGGTTTTCAAACTCTAGAATTAAGGCAAATAAGCCTGACCATGGCCCTTTCATTTTGATATATGCCCTCTGTTGTGGACATTCTAATAGAAGAATATATATCAGAAAGCAGAGGCCATACCAGGAGACTACAAAGGAGATAACTGACTAAACCTGGATGGAAATTGTGGAGTTTTTAAAATGCTATTTCTCCTATTAATTATTACATGGTTTGGGAATCTACTACACATCTATTAAAGAAGTAAAGTCCATATTGCATAGTTATACCACCCTGGGGGCTAATTCCTACCTTTGCCATTTTGCTCCATTCTTAGGTAAAATCCATAACCATTATTCCCTTTTTTGAGCTCAAGATTTCGGGGCTTGTGAGGTAATAATTTCAGATTGGCCTTTTCCCTTATCATTTGCATATTCTGCCTGTAGTAATACTGGTCGGTTTCTTCATCTGACAGTAGAAACATAACCTGATTTCCAGACTTTTTTACCTGAGGACATAAACATAGAAAATTTATTTTTGCCCTGTGTGCAGACTGAAACAATCTCACCTATATACAACCAGTACGTAACAGTATCCTTTTTTTTAATGATATTTTCATTGGTGAAGCTAGAATTGTTCTATACCATTATTATAAAACCTGCATTTCTGAAATTGATGTTTACAGTATTTACTTATTCTCATACTTATATATTTCAGGTGTGCACAGCTTTTTAGCTGTTTTGGAACTAATCACCTAATATATCAAGTAATACTATTAGTACTCAGAGTTATTATTCAATTTGGAAATAATTTTTTTATAATGAAAAATACAAAGCACATAGGTAAATATGACTTGATCCAATTCGGAAGATGGGACACTGTTAGGAGGTTAACTTTAGGGACTATGTAATTCACCTTGCTTAATATAAAAGAGTTAATTCAAACCCATTTTTCCCATTCATTGCATGCAACTTTATTTTCCATCTGTGCATGCCAGTCTTTGTCTAAGGTGATCTACTTGCGTATGCTGTGGCAAGATGCAATTGGGAAAATAATTATTTATATTCCATCAAATTACCTTTCTAACTTTATCTGAATTATCTACAAGAATTGGCTAACAAATGAGGTTAAGGCTTAAAGTACCTTCTCAACTACTTCTTCATGTGTACTGTTTTCCACATTCTCCCCGTTGATTTCTATAAGGCGATCATTTGGCTGCACTCCAGCTTTTATAGCTGCACCCAGTGGGGTCAAATCTACAATGAATAAACCTTTCTGTCCTGGAAATAAGAAACAAATGGGAGAAACAAAAATAATTCTTTACTTGTTAATATGTTCATTTTGCTCATGATAAACACAGCACGGGAAGCAGTATATCCAGTGTAGCTCAAACAATACTACTATGGTAGCAGAAATACGGCAATACCATTTATGCCCATCCAGTGCCTCAGAAATCGAAATTATTATGCTGTAACCCAGTAATAGTTTATGCTTTGTCAGATGCTTGCAGTGAGGGCTGCCATTATAGTGGTGTAAGTGACTGATTAGGAGTAGTAAATTACTTATTAACTACTAGTTTTTCCAGTGTTCATTAGAACTTGATTTATTATTTTACACCTACTTTTAAGTACCAAATTTCTCTCTCTCCCCTCCTCTCCCTCCCTCCCTCTCAAAGTACACTAGCTACTTCTAGCATGCAAAATAAAACTACCTGAAGAGATATCTTATTTGTATTTTCAAATATGGATGTAAAGAATCATGAAATAATGCAGCATTCTGGTCACTTCTTTTGTTCACATTCACAGAATGACTTTCTTATTGAGGTTTAACAATATAACAGTCTGGGTTCCTATATCAGAAGGCCATGGCAACCTAGGCTGCAGATGATCTAAAGCAGACTATATAGCTGACAAAACCCAATCAAAATTTCTAGAGTTTGCATTGCTCGTGTGATGTCTGACTTCCAACTGTCTTGAAGAAAAAGGCATTTTCCTGTTCCCTCTGATTTAAACGTTGATACCATAGCAACAAAAGAACCATTACTGTGAGAAATTCTAACACTTAAAATGGGGGCAATTCTAATTAAAAAGCTATTAAACTTTTTTGTCATGATCTGTAACTGGTTGAAGTGATGTACCACAGGGCAACAATGTTTCAACCAAGATACCTGAAATGGACTAATTTACAAGATGTGTCCAAAATTTGGAACTCATTCTCCTGAGGCAATGAAATTTGGATACATTTGCCATCCCATAGGAAACTATGCCACCATCTCTGCAAGTTGTGACCCTCTATCGACAATACTCTTCTATTTTCCAGGTTGATCCAATCTTTGATCCATACCGTAGTCTCAGCCTGATAATACTTTTCCCAGTCAGGGAGTCCAAAGCCACCCCTTTCTCTTTTGTCCTGTAACAATTTCATTTTTATCCTTGCTTTTTTCCCATCCCAAACAAATTTACTTATTATTCAATCTAATTCTCTAAAAAAGGTTTTATCCAATCTTATTGGTACAGTTTGAAAAAGATATAGTAGTTTTAGTAGGGTAGACATTTTAATTGCTGCAATTTTCCTCAGTAGTGATAGCTGTAATTTCTGGGAAATATAAACAGCATGCATATTTTCAGAGACACATAATTAGAGATTCATTAATTTGGACATGGAACAAGATTAAAAAGAACCATTATACTAAAATATTGAACTGGTTGTCAACTATGGAAGCACAAATATACCCAAATGCAATGGATCTGGAAAAAAGAAGAGTTACAAAGACCTATTAGACACACAAGGAAGATTAAAAATGAGACGAGAATTACAGCAACAAAATATAAAGATAGATTGGTGGCCAAATCCAGGTGAGATATCAGAAGGACAAAGAACAATTTGGTTTCTGCATGGAAAAGCATCAATTAGATAAATTTCTACAAGAAATGGAAAAGAAAATGATTTCAAGAATATATAAATTTTGACTAGATTTTAAAATGGAAGAGGAGGTGGTTAAAGATGGTTGTATGGGTGAAAAATGTTGGCCATAATATAGACCTGGAAAATTGGGAGAGAATGTGGGGATCAAATTACAAACTAATTACATCCACAGCATACAAGGAAAATCAATACAAAATGTTCTACAGATGGCACCTCCCTCCTGCTAGATTGGCAAAAATGTTTAACTCAGACCCAAATTGTTGGAAATGTGGAAAAGAAAAAGGCACTTATTTTCATACCTGGTGGACATGCCAGGAAGTGAAAAAATATTGAATACAATTAGACAATGGATAGAAGAAATCACAAATCAGAAAATTGAATTTAATCCAGAAACTTTTTTATTAGGTATAATAACACAATAATGCAATAAAACAGATAGATATATTATGTTACATATATTAACAGCTGCAAGGATTTCGGATGCACAACTCAGGAAGGAAAAAAGGGTTCCACCGGAAGGCATGGTTATTAAAAAAATAATAGATTGTATAGAGATGGATAGGCTAATGATGAAAATAAAAGACAGAGAAGATTCAATTTATTATAGGGCCTGGTATGCCTGGTATGAGTGGTTTAGAAATAAAAAGAAAAGAAAATGGCAATTAGGAGAAGAATGAGTGAATATGTAAATATGCAAATGGATAAGATTGAGATGTAAGGATAAAAGATAATTAATTTATAGTAAGAGCAAGGTCCAATGGTAAAGGAATAAGTAAATATATATACTGGAAAATGTGAGGAAATGCAAAATATGTCTTTTAATGTATAAAGTATAAATGTATAAAGTTTTGTTTTATGTTTTTTAAAATTTGGAAACTTAATAAAACTTATTAAAAAAAAGAAATTTGGATAAATTGTGATTGCTAGCTGCTGCTGCATGTCACCTGTTCTTCATTTCGACATTCTGTGACAATTTCTCAGTGCGTCTTGCAATCCCTTGTTCCTTCCCCACCCAGTAATTGTCACTTACTTGCCTGCTAGAAAGGGAAGGGAGGAAGCAAACAAAGAATAGGGAGAGAAGAAAGAAGTGAGGGAGGAAGACAGGGAAGAAAGTTGAAAGTTGCTCCCATTCGTACTACATTTTGTCCACCTGTGGTAATTGTTTCTTTGATTAGTTAGGAAATATCTCTGAAAAGATGACTCAACAGACATGGGTTGTCAAGAAGAATAAACAGAATTATGCAACCTGTCACTTCCATATGATTGTGAGTGCATTTACCAGGATTTGTAGCCAGAATGACCAAGAAGGCCACACCAGACTTAAAAAACCACAATTCTTTTCAATGAGCACCCAGACATTGAATAAAAAAGCATTTGAATAGTTTTCTTCTATATGTGAGTAATACATGCAAATATGGTCTAATATGTCTAGAAATTTGGCATTTATAGATGCTTTGACTTGTTATTTCTATCATTTTAGGAATGCTTCAGATTCATTCAAGGACTTATTTTAATTAGTATAACAATTGACCATCCTAATAATGTCCTTTAATAGATGGTTTAGAAATCTGGGCTTTAAATACACATTCAAAATTATGTCAGGATTACAGAAGAGAGGTTTACATGCTATTTTTATTTATTGTCCTTACCTGCAGAAGACTTCAAGGAGAAACCATAGCTATTTTTTTCCTTAGTCAGATAACAGAAACGGGGCTGTGGAAGTGAACCCATTTCTCCAGATTGCACAAGTTGGGGTTCCTCTGTCTGTTCTTGGTTTGGTGACTTTTCAGCCAACTCTTCGAGACTGATTCCTTCTTTTAATGCACTTTCATAAGAATGGTCATCCAAAACAAGGAATAATACAGAAGTTACACCTTTTCTAATTAAATCAGCCACCTATAATTGATTCAACGAGAGATTAAGAGGTAATTTAAAGAAATAGTTAAGGCATAGAACATGAATTAGGAAAAACGTCCACAGGAGATTAGCTAGGTCATACAGCTGTGTCATACAGCTGTTTTAAGAGAGGATTAAAAAGTCAGAATAGCTGTTGTGTCTATGCAATCAAAACCCCACCTCTTTTTGATGTGCATACAACTTGGCATACTTGCACACCTACCTGACTCTGAAGCCTGTGGCAGATACAAGAATAATAAAAAAGCAGAATTTTCATAAAGTTGATTGCTAAAATGGAGAGGGAAAATTATCCTGAAAATTTGTTGAAAATAGCAAATGTTTTATAATACTACCAGTAGGATTTATTTTCTTGAAAATTGTACTTATGTGACATAAGCTTGAGTAGTGCTTTCATATCTGATGTTGTAGAAAATACAAAAGTTGAATTTAGCTGGTTTAGCTAAGATCAGCCATTACAGGCCTCTGTAAATGCTCTCAAATGGTGGCTCTCAGTACTTCACCACATTCTTATCTTTTTGATTGTGCAGTGATGAAATCTCCATGACATTAAATCAGCTATAAGTCTCTTCAAAGTGCTTAGAAGTTGGTTGTCATTTAAGTTCCCCCATCATTACTGACTGGGCAGAAAGGTTAAAGGAAAGGGAAACTGAATTATTTTGCTCATATGGAGAATGAATTACTTTTCTCTGAAAGAACGAAAGAATTTTTTCTTTGAAGAGGCTTTTTTTTTTTACTTTACATGGTTTGGGTGCTGGCAGAAGATTTGGAAGTATTCATCTTTGGAAGAAGAAAATATTTTGAATAAATGCATACAAGGATCAAATTGGTTGACGAGGTGTGTGAAAGTATGTGCTTTGCATTAGAAAAAACCCCACTAAAATAAAATATCTGCTACCTTTCCATGATCTTCCTTATCTATATACACTCCATTAATCTTCAGAATTCTATCTCCATCTTTTAGTCCTGCCTTCTCGGCTGGACTGTCCTTTTCTACATTTCGGATAAGATGCCCTGTTTTGAATCTCTCAATGCGCAGGCAGAATCCATAGCTTTCACCCTCTTCTTTGACCAGTGTGCATTCTCTGGGATGAAGTGACATAATTTCTGCCAAAAGAAGTATAAAAAAATATATGCCAGAACATGTATGTGAAGAAAGAAAGACTTTATTGAAGGAAATTTCTGAAAAAATAAATAAATCAAGTGAACTACTCATAAAAGGGAATGAGAAGGGGGAAAGAAAGCATTTTGACATGGGAAAAATGTACCAAGTACTGATGATGGGGTCATCTCATATAATGAATTTATCATAACAACTTACAGATATTTTCTTAGAAGAAAATTTTAATGAATTCAATATAATTTAAACTTAACAATATTTTGTATATATTGCAGTACATAGCCTGTATTTGTCAGCTCTTCAAAGTAAGTCAGTTCAGATTTATTGTAACTATATTGTTATGGGGGTACAATACCAGAATTTATTTCTACACACACACACACACACACACACACACACGATCAGGGCAGGGCAATCTTGAATTTATTTCTCATATCTTCATCTCTTTCTGGGCTAAGCTAACGTTTTCATAATGGCTGGCACATACCTTCTTCTAAATCAGTGGTAGTCAACCCAATCCCTACCGCCCACTAGTGGGCATTCCAGCTTTCATGGTGGGTGGTAGGGGTTTTGTCCCCTACTTTATAAATCACCATTATTGTGGAACTGGTGACCGGTTAGAAAATTTTACTACTAACAGAGATAAAAAGTAGGTGTAAAAGGGTTGACTACCCCTGTTCTAAATTATATCTGTACTGTATTGCCCAATATTTTACAATATTGGCGGCTCTCATGAAGCTAAACTAGGTTGGACATGATTAGTAGTTGAAAGAGAAACAAACTGGAAATGCCAGGGCTATAAGCCAGACTGGGAAATGGAAATAGAAAATGGAAAACAATCCAATGCACTATTTAATTTGGGTTGGTCACCAGGACCAGAGGTTGTCTTTCAAGTTTTCAGACTTGTACTGGAGCCTATCCCCAGGGAACTTTTCTCTAGCAGAGTTTGTGCTTTGGGCTATTCTGTCAGTGGTATTTATATGGTGCCTGGTTGTGTGCAGCTTTTTAGTTGTTGACTGGGATGTTGATGGAACACCAATGGCCAGCTATTAGTCGTTGGCTGTTGTTTCCTTGTGCTGCTAACAATCCAGTACAGACCACAGTGGAAAATAATTGCTGTATTGTTGCAGAGAAAGCTTTGAAGTTTGCTCATGAAATTACTAGGAATCAAATTTGGCACCAAGGAAACTTTAATATGAAAATCAATTCAGCGCCTGTCTTAATTCTACACTTAGATAAGTAAGATGAAGAAAGCATTTTTAGTAAGATGAACTATTTAGATATTATGCAATGAACTGAACTGCGAAATGCTGAAGAGGAGTCTTTCCTTAGTTTCTAAGTCAACATTTTTCAATCTGTAGGAAGCATGAAGACATAATTTATTATACATCCCATTAGTTCTTATATTGTTACTCATGATTTCTGGAGAGCAAGGCATATTACTAACCTTGTACCTCAGGATTTCTTCAACTTCACCTAAGCTAGCCATGTGAATACCCAGGACGTACAGAAAACTGAGTAGGACAGTTTTTTTTCTATTTATGTTATCATTTTTCTGAGGTCAAGGCAAAATTGAAGTGATTCTCTTAAACCATTTTTGCTTATTTTTAAAGTACAGTGTAAAGTGAAAGATCAACTACAACACCTTTCAAGAGAAATAGAAAGCTTAATGTGTTGCTGACAATATTTGTCTACACTGTTCTCTTCTAAAACTCTATTGCTAGTAATCATATTGCTAATTTAGTGTTTTGCAATTATATGTACTTTGTTCACTCTTCCTTTGCTGCGGATGCACGATAATCTTGTTGACTTAGTTAATATATTGAGAATTATGGTTAATATGTGGAAGATTTTTCTTAGGTCATGAGGTGAGGTTAACAAGAATCAGAGTATTAGACTATTAAGAAATAGATGTTTTGTTTGTTGAACTGTTTTTATCAAATGACTTTTGACCATGAATAAATTGAGCTGAATTGACTAGGTTGCATTCAGACTTTCTTCACTATTGTTCTTTCCATTTGAACAATGAATAAGATAGCCAATGCGTTTAGTCCCCTTAAAAGATTGTTAAATAAAATAAAATTACTCCTTTATAAAAGCCCTGTCCACTCATCCTAGCCTCCTAAAAGATCCCTAGACTTCTTGGGAGCATTTTCTATCAAACCCTGAAATATTATGCTGAATATGTCTACAGGTAGGACTAGAATTTCTTCTGAAGACCTACCCTCTAAACATGTTCACTATTATCTCATTGGTGATTTTTGGACAATCGTTATCAGTTTTTTTCTAGCTATGCAACAACTTTGGGGTTATGATTATAAAATGAGGCAAGATTCATAACTGCTTCTTTGAATTTATAAAGGCAGAATAAGAAAGAATGAATATATGACTCATGACTTACTCTGTGCAGGGAGGCATAATCTTATTCTGTACATAGATATACTCATGTATATACTCATGTATATTTGGTCTTCCAAATATGAGTATTAGAGCCAACAAGCATCACACATCTTTCCAGTCTTCATACATTAAAACCATATTTGGTAATTATTGACAATAATTTAACTTTATGTAAGACTATATTTAATATTTTGAGGGAAAAAAGGACTTTCAGCATTCTTTCCCTTCCTGTTCTTCCCCCTCAAATTTGGAAAAAAAGGCAAAGAGAGTCTTACCTGAATATATAGTGCACAGTTCCTCAGAATGATCTCTAGTAGCTCATGTTCTGAACTGCTAAAGGTAAGCACAGTTGCACTTTGAATGAACAAAGGTTGAATTAAAAGATGATTTATTTAACAGGGCTTCACTGCACACATTCCTTGATAACCAGTTTTTCATTACTTTTAGCTAAGCAGTACTGACCTCTTCCTGGCAACTTGGATCCCTCCCTCATAGTTCAGAGATCGTTACAGATATTTCCATTATTACATGGATTTCTGATGAAAAATGCCTGACCATCAGTCAGCCCTCCAGGATAGATAGATAGATAGATAGATAGATAGATAGATAGATAGATAGAT